GCCTACGGCGCGAGGCCCCGCCCTCGCGCCTGCCCTTCCTGGGCCGCGGCCTCGCAGCGTTCACGCCAAAGCTGCCGCAGGCTGAGGCGCAGCGCCTGGCCGGAAGGTGCGGCCCCGCGCGGGCGGGACGCGGTGCCTCTTTGCCTGCTAAGGGCTTGGACGGCGTCAGTGCAACCTCGGCGCCCAAAACGATACGCCACACCCCGGCTCCTGGTCCCCCGGACCTCGTTTGAGCTCCATGCCGGCTCCCAACCCTTACAAGCCCGCGGACCCCTGCCTGCGCCGCAAACAATCCCCCCCCACCCCGGCCCTCCCCCTTCCCCCCTTCAAACAGGCTGGAGGTCTCCTTGTCCAAGGCGGGCCGCGCCCACGACCCCTCGGACGACGGCTGGAGGGACGCATACGCCTACCTGGAGGGACTCAAGGTGCGGCTACGCTTCGTTTGGGAAGGGGCCAGTGGGATGGAAGGGAAACGGGTGCCTTGGAGGGGATGGGAAAGGGGATGAGGCGGGACTGTTGGGGGGGCGGATGCGGGGGCCATCGGGGTTGGACTGGGCTGGGCTGCGCTGCTGGGTTGGGCACACGTGATGATGTGCGGGGTGGGTGCGTGAGTAGGAAGAGGACGTGTGCCTGAGGCCAAACCTGGGGAAGGTAGTGCCAGCGCTTGGGGGGAGGGACTTTCTTGCTGATGCGTGCCCCGCCACGCGGCCCACCCTGCAGAGCCGCGGCACCGGGGCCAAGGTGGCGCGCGGCGCCCTCAAGGCGGCCGGCGCGCGCAGCAAGCCGCGCTCACACGTCGGCTTCGCGGCTGGCGCGGGCGGGGCGGGCGGCAGCGGGCGGCGCCGTGGGGCTGGGCGCGGCAGCAAGGCCGGCGTGGCGAAGCGCCGGCGGCGCGCCGAGGAGGAGGGGGAGGATGACGAGGATGAGGAGTCCGAGGAGCAGGAGGAGGAGCAGGAGGAGGAGGAGGAGGAGGAGGAGGAGGGGCAGGAAGACGAGGAGGAGATTGAGAACCCAGATGATGCGGGCGGCGCTGACGAGGCCGGCGAGGACGACCAGCCGCCCAACTCCCAGCGCGGCGGCCGTGTGCGCACCCAAGGTAGCTTCTCAAGCGGGGGGTGGGGGGTTCGCGCGCCCCTGGCACTCAGGGATGGAGCATCATTGCGTGTCATGCCCTTGCATATGCAGGCGGCTTACCTGCCTCGCTCTGCCCCGTGCGCGGCAGCCGCTCGTCCGCTCACGAGCCTCCCGCGCCCTTTACCCACCCCACAGCCCTGGCGGCATCCCCTGCCCCCGCCCGCGGCCAGCGCGCCGGCGCCGCGCTGGCGGCCACCACCCCGCCGTCGCTGTCGCGGCGCCAACAGCTGCGCGCGGTGGACGCAGACCTGGGGCCGCTGCCCGGCACGCAGGACAAGGAGGGCGCGCACAGCCAGGGGCGCGGCGGCAGCCAGCGCGCCGCGCGGGCTGCGGCGCGCAGCAGCCAGGGCGCGGGCGGCAATGCAGCTGCGCAGCGGCGCGGCCGGCAGCAGCAGCAAGAGGAGAACGATCGTGCGGAGTCGGGTGATGACGGGGGGCAGGGCGCTGACGAGGACGGGGACGTGGTGATGGCGAGCGCGGAGCAGCTGCCCCCCTCTAGGCCCAGCCAGCGGCAAAGGCAGCGGGAGCAGCAGGCGGCAGCGGCGGAGGAAGAGGCGGGCGACGAGTCAGAGGAGGAGGGACAGGAGGAGGCAGAGGATGCTGAGGAGCAGGAGGAGGAGCTGGAGGAGGGTGATGATGAGGAGGAGGAGGGCGACTACAGGGAGCAGGCGCCGCCGTCTCAGGGCCGGGGCCGGAGGGGCGGGGGCCTGGTGGTGGAGAACAGCCAGGGCAGCCTTGCGGTGCAGGTAGGCGCAAGGCAGGGGCCTTCAGCGCAGGGAGGTCTGGGGCGGCAAGGGGGGGGCTGTTGCACCCGAAGGGCGCAGCGGCGATGCTGCTCGTAGAGAGACCCGCCTCTTTCATGTCCCTCGACACCAGCACTCCCCAGCACCCTGCTGTACGACACCCCATTCTCTGCCCTCCTGACTCACCACGCCATTTTTGAGCGCGGCCTCAGCCCCACCACGCCCTCGCTCCAAACGCTCCCGCCACGTTTCAACCACACCACCACCCCCCTCACTCCCAACCACCTCACACCCCC